ATGGTAAAACACATGTTTATAGAACAGAAGAATACTGTGGGTGTATTTTACCCCCTGTGATGCTCAGGTAAATATATGCCAAATCTATTCGGTAGACCATGACATGGGTAAAAATCCAAGTTTGACACATTTGCACACATGCACACACCTTGCCATTCATCATACCAAGTGGGTAAACACTAAGATTGCTTCCTGTGTCCCCCAGGCACAGCTATTGAGATGCACACAAGCTATTATTATTATAAAGTAAAAATTTACAGTAGGAAAGTATGGGATGGGTTGTTGTAACCCAATATTATGCCCCATGGGCAAGAAAGTAAAAGATATAAAAGCAAGGAAATAAAGCTCCGGCTAACTAGGCAAGGGCTGTGACTAGGATACCCAAGAAGGTTCTTTGTCTAGGGAATTTTTAAGGGCAGTTAAAAGGGAGCTTGGACTGTTGTGTAAGTGATATAATCTCTACCCTATAGGAGACTATATACTATTTAGGATCCAATCTATACAGTGTTCACAGACTGTGCACACAGGGTCCATGTTCCCTTGAGCCAGTGGCCTGCCTGATAATTCTCTCGGCAAGTCTCAGACCCGGTAGATGTTTTTGTAAAATCCCTGGAGGGTTGTGACTCAGCAGACTCCAGCTTGGGCTTTCTGACTCCATTTTTGGGCTACTGTCTTTACCACCTAATAAAATCCCCTAACTCTCATCTTACTAGTTCCTGTTACTTAGGGCCTTTCGGGGAAGCAGCAGGATTTACTTTTCTGGGTGGTCAGCCATCATTTCTGGTCCTTTCAGGGTCAGACCCAGAGGGAGAAAAGGAAAAGGGAAGAGTGGCAGGCATAGTTGTAACCTGTCAGTGCCCTCTTGGAAACATAAGGACAATTATTTCTTCACTTGGAAACAGATGGGGGCTTCCTCCAGGATCATTTGGGCCCCCTTAGCTGAGGGAATGCCTCTGCCCCCATTGACAGTGAGCAGCTTTCTCCTGGCCATCTACTCATCTCCTGGAATTCTTTACCTCCCTAGGAGTTCCTTTCACCTGGAGTCCCTTTAGGGAGGACCTTGATAGCTCTCTTATACAATGAGGACTGGATCACCATCAGGGAACTGCAGCTTCCTTCAGTGCTACTGGTGCTTCACCTGGCCAGTCACCAGAAAGGGCAGCCATGGGCATGAGGTCAAACTCAGGGGACACTGGAAGCTCATCTGACTTGGCTTAAGGGGCAATGTCCAGCACTCCAAAAATCTCTTCAAAGAAATAAAGCTCCCAAGGCTGGTCCAGCAAGATGGAAGATGAGCTGGCAATGGCAGCACAGGCTTCACCATCTCCTCCCCAGGTCCATAGAGGAATCAAACAGCCAGCTTCAGGATGTGCCACATTTGGCACCCACTAAATCTCAGTACTTAGGCCCTTCGCACAATTCTGAGAGAGTTCCACTCTAACGTACTTTCAGAGAAGTTACAGGGAGGTGGATTTTCAGCCAGTAAGTTTGTATTTTTAAGCAAATGAATCCATATCACAAAGCTATTGTCTACCAGTCTCTACAGTTAGTGGTCAAGCAAAGGTTGTAGGAGATTCTCTACAGAGTGGGAGGCAGACAAGTAACATCTTCCACCTTCTCTCAGTTCTGAACTTATTTCTAACTGTGCTCATCCCTACACTTATGAAATATGTGCATTTTAAAAGAAAGTAATCTCAAGGAGTCATTTGTGCAATTTAATGTAACACAAATCTTGCAGAAGTGCTGAGGGAAGTTAAGAGAAAAATTTGACAAAGTAAAGAGTTCAGTTTCAGAGAATTTCTGTTATTACAGCACTTATGCCATACCGTTTGTGTACATGTGTGTGTGTGTGTGTGTGTGTGTGTGTGCGCGCGCGCGCGCGCCCATGCACAGAGCTACATCTCCAGCCCCCACCCCTTGAGTCAGGGTCTCACTAACTCATTAAGTTGCCCAGGGTGGGATTGAATTTTTGATTCTGCTGAGGCACTCCTAGAGTGCTGAAATTACAAGCATGCACCACCACCCCCAGCATTTCATATTTTTAAGGCTTATTGCTTCTGATATACTGGGCTGTGAAGAACTTAAGAGCATATCTTATTTATACTGTACTCTAAGACTTGGCACGGTACCTGGCATGATGTAGGTGTCAATAAAGGTCTGTGGAGTAAATGAATTCAATTTATGAATGCATAATCTAATGACGGGTTGAAGTAAGTATAGAAAGAATATGATTTGGCTGAAGGCCAAGAAAACATGAAAGGTCACTATAAGAGGAAATGGTTAAGGTAAGGTGTAGGAGCTAGGAGTACTAAGGGTCACAAAAAGTTCATAAACAAGGGAGCCTAACCAGGTGTGGTGGTGTATGCCTATAATCCCAGCACTTGGGAGGCAGGGGCAGGAGGATCTCAGATTTGAGGCCAGCCTGAGTTATATAAAAAGATCCTGTCTCAAAAACAAAACAAACAAAAAACAAAGAAACCTGACTAAAAATGAAAGGTATGTAAGAAAAAGAGGGCCAGGGATATAGCTCAGCAGTACAGTGTCTGCCTGGCAAGCACAATGTTGTGAGTTTGATTCCCAGTACCAAAAAAAAAAGAAAGAAAAAGAGAACTACATGGTTGAATTATGTGAAAAAAAAGTTGGTTTAATGCCAGAGTTAGATCAAAGGATTCCAGGAAGATGTTCTTAGTGTCCTACACAGGGAACCAATGCTATGAGACTAGAACTGTAGGCAAATTAATCTTTATAGGTAAAAAGACAATTGTAGCCCCAAGCCCCTTGGAGCAAAAATAATTTCCATTCTCAGTGGCCAAGAGCTATACAGAAAAACCCAAACACACAATGAATGAAGACAAAGGTCTATGCTTTAGACTGACAGTTTTAGGTTAGAGACTGCTTTACCTTTTTGATGGTGTTCCTAACTGCAAATATTGAGTATGTAGACAAACACCTTCCAAGAGATCTTACCAAGTCAGCAAGGAAGCATGAATTCAGAGATAAACGCAAGCAAACATTTAAAGCAAAACAGTATCAGATGATGGAATTCTGTTCAAAAGAGCCACAGGCACACACCCATAAGCGCACACACACACACACACACACACACACACATACTGATTTTTGACAAAGATATAAAAGCAATTCAGTGGTGAATGAAGAGTCTTTTCAACAAACGGTGCTAGAACAATCAGGTACTTATATGGGGCTGGGAGGACTTTAAGCCATACCTGTAGTACACAGAATAATATCCTCTCCAGATGTCCACATTTTAATTTCCCAAATCCATAAATCTATATATACATTAAGAAAGTAAAAACACAAGCCAAAGTCTAGGAAAAGTGTTCACATCCTGATGAAATTCTAATAAAATATTTTTCTTCAGAAAATGTAAAGAACTATCAAAATTCAATAACAGAAACATGAAATGCTATGGTTTGAACATGGGTAGTGTCCCCCAAAAGGTCCACATGTGAAAGTTTGGTCCCACAGTGGCAGCCTGAGGAGGTCCTGTGGACCTTTAAGAGATCCAGGCAGTAGGGGTGTGCCCTCACAAGGGATTGTGGGACCACACCCATCCTGTCTCCTGCGCTTCCGTCCAAGATGTGCACACTGGTTTGGACATGCACTCCCACACTGATGTGCTGTCTTTGCCACAGGTTCAAATCAATGAGGCTGCCGGATCATACACTGAACTTCCAAGACCATGAGCCAAAATAAACCTCTCTTCCCTTCAAAAGAAACCACAGGTATTTCCGTAGCGACACAAAGCTGACTAATAATACACTATCGCAAACGAAAAAGCGGAATAATCGCATCACCAAAGGCTAGCAAATAAGTACATGCAAAGGTACTCAAGTCATTGGGTATGGGAAAATGAAATTTATAACTACAAAGAGCTATCTCTCCAAAAGTGTTGGCTGAGGGCAAGTAAAATGGTACAACCTCTTCGGACCACAGGTTAGTAGTTTCCTAACAAGTCAGATATTTACCATAATCCAGCCATTCCACTCTCAGGTATTTGCTGAAGAGAAATGAAAAATATACCCACACAAAAACTTGCAGATGAATGTCTGTAGCAGCTTTATTTGTAACATCCCACAACTAGAATTTACCCAAATGTATATCAGCAGATAAATGGCTAAAACCACTGTCGTATATCCATATAATGGGATAACTATCCAGCATCTAAAAGGAATTAATTTTTGACAGCTTAACAGATACAGTTTAGTACGTGGCAGAGGGCGCAGCAGAGGGGCAGGAAACAGAATTAAAAAGAAGCATGAGGAAATTTGGAAGATGAGTGCTTAACTGTGTTGATTGTGATGGTAGTTTATGGAGGTAAACATGGTAGGACTGACCAAATTGTACAGTGTCAAGATTTTCATGCCCCTTTTTATACCTTGATGAACTTTTAAAGTATGGTGAGAAGGAAAACATTTCAGTATATAAAAGGCAGGACCAGACAGTAGTGCTAAAAAGTTTTCAGCCAAGAAGTACCAGACAAGGGAAGGTTGCCCGGCTGCCTTGTGAGAGACGCTGAGGCCCGCGAGGGCCAGGGCCACGGGAGCCGCGCCGCTCCGGGTCGCGAGGCGCGCGGGAGGACACGCAACACCCGAGACGAGTGGGAGCGGGCGGGCCTGAGCTGGAGCCCAAGTACATTCCTCATGCTCTGTCCAGGGGCTTATCAAGGGCCCAAGTGATCCAGGTAGTTTGCTCCTCCAAGCAGACGTGAGCGGCTTGAAGGAGGGTTGTATCTGGTGTTTAGGTCTGAACTGGGTGGTGTAACTAAGTCATCAGAAACTTCCTCGCCACAGAAGAGGCGACACCCCAGGAACCCAGTATCAAGCCCCGCCCACCTCCTGAAGTCCGCTTCCGCCCGGAGAGACTCCGCCCGCCCGGCAGGAGGAGGGGCCCGGAGGCCCCGCCCCCAGCGCCGCACCGCCGCGCGCAGCCTCAGCAGGGTCGCTTTACGGCCGGGGCGGCTGAGGGGGCGGGTTGTAGGCTTGAAGTAGGAGGCCGAAGTGAGGGGTGGAGGGGGAGAGGCCTTTTGCGGCAGGACGTAAGTGACGGCAAAGGTGGCGCGCTAGCAGCTGGAGGGCAGAGGAGCCGGGTTCGTGTATCCTGGGCCGAACCGGAGTGGTGGGGGCGGGGGGCCGCAGTCTTGGGTCGGGAGGGTGGGTGACGGTCCGCTGCAGTAGCATGGGCGGAGGGAACGGCTGTGAGCGCCTTCGGGCGGTGGGCGGGCTTGAGGGGCTGGCGGGCCGGAGTACCGGGTCCGGGCGGGGGTTCTGACCCGGGCTGCCTCCCTCCCCGAACTCGCAGCGCGGCGGGTCCCGTCCTCGCCATGAGGCCGCAGCAGGCGCCGGTGTCCGGGAAGGTGTTCATTCAGCGAGACTACAGCAGTGGCACACGCTGCCAGTTCCAGACCAAGTTCCCCGCGGAGCTGGAGAACCGGGTACGCAGCTGGCTCCCGCGCCGCCCTGGGCCGGGGAGTGACCCCGGGTGGGGAGGGATGTGGGCGGGCTTCCGTTCAGCCGAGCGTCTCGGGGTCGGGGAATTGGGCCGTGGCCCAAGATGCCGGAAGAAGGCACGATGTTGTGTTCTGAGAAGGAATAATAAGGCCAAGCCCTGGGTAGAATGATCTTCTAGAACTTTTGTGATGCTCAGCGGCGGGAGTGTGTACCCAGCGACATTCTAAGCCTGCTGACCCCATCCCCACGTTTGATTATTGACTATAGTGATGCTGAGCTAATTCCTGGGGCTCCAGCACCTCACCCAGCAGGTTGTAAACTATGTCCTCCTACTTCCTCACCCAAAAGAAAGCATCATGGTTCTCATGACAAGCATTTGTAGTCACCGTGCTGGTCACACTGCTGAACCGAAAGAGTTTATTAAGTGCTGTGCCAGGCAAGCGGAGCAGACAGGCCTTCCTGGAAGCTGAAAAACATCGAGCATTCCATGTACCAGGAAGTTAAGTATCTCAGGGCAAGACATTAAACTCCCGGTTGTGATCCCAGGGAGATCCTGTTTGTCTTGCATATCAAAACTTTCCTCAGAATATAGGTGCTTTGGACCATCGTAGCATGCAGAAATGGGAGAATGGGATTTGTTTCCCTTCTCTTCAGATTTAATCCTCCCCAAAACTGTATCCTATTATAAATGTTCGATGTGTATTTGTATGTGGATATATGCGTGCATATTCCCAGCCAAAGAGCAGTTCTGTTTCCTGTTGGAAGTCACTTTCTGGTTAGCTGGAAGCGAGGTTTGTAGCTCTTTCCTCTTCGATGGGGAGGGTGAAGGCCTAAGGTAATTAGGCATGATGTTTGTGTGGGGCTAAAAAATAGACCAGGTGGGCGGAGATGACTGTACTAAAGAAATGTATAGCAGCCATTTGAAGTCGATTTGTGGGCTGGGGATGTAGCTCAGTGCTAGAGCCGGTGCTAAACCTAAATTTAATCCGTAGCACCAAAAATAGTCAGATTGCATACCTGATTGCCACCGTTGGAAAATCAACAGTGATCATTTATAGTTTGCCTCAGCTTGATTTATAACCACAGGCAAGTGAGTGACCTAAGTGTTTCTTTAACTACAAATTAAAGATCAGACATGCCTTGAAAAGATAAAGTGTAGATTTACTTACTTGCGAAATGCCATTTAAATGCTGCATTTTGTGGTCAATAATGTTGAGTTAATTTATGTGACAGTAAGTGAACATTTCAACAGTGGTTTGAAGAGGTAAAAACTGAGCAAGTTGCCAGTTGACTAGAGCTGCTGAAGGTTGTTTTTAAAATAATTTTTTTTTTGTTGTTGTATGGGGAATCAAATTCTGGACCTTGGACCTTGTGCTTGCCAGGCAGGTGCTGTGTTTTAAAGTAATTTGGCTTCACCATTAATGTGGTGTATGTGTCAAAACACATGAAAAGGATCAAATGTTTTGTTTTTAAGCTTTTTATGAAAACTAACAACAAAGAAACTTAACACAATTTATGTACTTGAAATCATAATGTACACTATTCTTTCTCACCACACTTCATGTGGTTTGAAAATCAAACTTGCGCCTCATTGTTGAACCAAATAATGTGTATGCAGAATCTGACATTAGCCTTTTGGAATGTGTGGTAGGTAGTGCCTTATACAGTGTTAAGTATAAGACTGGTTGTAGTCACAACACTCCACTGATTCTTACAGGAAGTTGATGTTGCTACATTCTGGTGTCTTTTTACTTCATTGACTTCACAGAGCCCAAAACTGCTTGTGGTGCTGAGTACTGTGTGGAATATTGTGGAATATTATATGTTGCTATTCATTTATTCCTTTGAGTGTTTTTCTTTAAATGTTTGATTCAGAGTACTAGCTTAAACTTTAAACCGTTTGGGAAAGCTTTGATTTTTTTTTTTTTTTTTCTGTGTTGAGGTTAAATTTAAATTACAGGTTTAATTTTTCCTTGCTTTGTGTAATAGGAAATTGAAAGGTTTCTTTGTTCTTATCCTAGAAATGTTACTGATTGCTCTGCTGCTGGGGCTGATTTTCTTTTTGTAAAAAAGTCAAACCTGGCAATTTAATAAGGAAACTAATACACAAATTTTTGTATTACTTTGAAGCATTAAAAAAATACACAAAATTAGTATGGACAAGCTCTATTAACAAGTTTGTTTTCTACATTGCCTGTTAGAAAGTAATTGTTTGATACGTTTTGTTGCCAGAACAGTTTTTTTGTCGGAGACAGGGTCTCACTATGCAATTCAGGCTGGCCTTGAGCTCACTTTGTAGCCCAGGCTGGTCTGGAACTGGCAGTGATCCTCCTGCCTCAGCCTCCCAAGTGCTGGGATTACAGGCGTGTGCCACCACACCCAGCTATCAGAACAGTTTTTTAAAGGAAACTTTATTCTCGCTTTAGCCAAAATGCAGATATCTTAGTCACTGTTGGTGTGGGTGGGTGAAAAATAAGTAAAGTATAATTGAGACATTTTTTTCCTGTACATACCTTTTAAAATATGTCTCTTCATCCAGTCAGTAGAGGTTACCTGTGACTTGTCACCTTCAGTTTGTTATCATATTAAGCTTCCTAACCACATAGTTCAACAAAATCCAATAATTCTGCAAAACTGAGCCTGGTTCCTATTTTATTCTGATTAGTTGTGTTTATTGATCCAAATTTGTATTTGACTCCAACCTGACATACTCCCAAATTTTGATAGGAAGTTCCTGTATCAATGTCCAAAAGTGTATAGAAAAACACTGATGGCCATCTTCATGGAGCCTATAGGTGGTAGATAAAAATGCCTACATTGGTTCTGTTGAGCATTTGCATCTTGCACGCTGTCTTATGTCCATTAGTGACAGGGACATAGTCTGAGAAATGCGTCATTAGGCAATTTTGTTGTGTACACGTGAAGCTTGTGAGGTTCCTGCCAGCAGACTGTTTCACAATAAGCTTTTTTTCCAAGTAGAAGGACACTCCTAAATAACAAATATATAACATAGAATATGCAAGGTATGATTAAAGTGTATAGTGAATGTTTAAATTAAAAAGTTTAGGGGCTGGGGATTTAGCTCAGCGGCAAAGCGCCTGCCTGGCAAGCGCAAGGTCGTGAGTTCGGTTCCCGGTACCGAAGAACAAAAAAAAAAAAAAAAAAAGTTTAACAGTAAGAGACACATTGTCATTAACCCCCTCAAAATGCTCCTCCTCATTTCAAACACACTTATCTCTTCATTCTTGCTACTTTCTGAAGCAGTTCTGGAAGTCCTCTTTTGTGTCTTTAGGAGGTAAATAAAAAATACAGTGAATGCTGCTTTTGAGTGCCATCCAATGGGAAGGCAGGCTCAAAAACAATAGTGTGTTCTTATCCCTTCTTCACCAGATGTGGCCTTGTACAATTTCTGGCTCTTCCCTAAAGTCAAAATGATCATGAAAGGTAAAGATTTTGAATCCGTTTCAGGATGTTGAAGCCATGACAGGGCAACTAAAGACACAAAAGAAGACCTTTTTTTTTGGTCTTTTTGAGACGGGGTCTTGCTATGCAGTTCAGGCTGTCCTTGAGCTCACTTTGTAGCCCAGGCTGGTCTGGAACTTGCAATGATCCTCCTGCCTCAGCCTCCCGAGTGCTGGGATTACAGGCGTGCGCCACCAAAGAAGACTTTTAGAACTGCTTCAGGAAGTGGCAGGAGTGATAGGATAAGTGTGTTCAATGCAAGGGAGTATATTTTGAGGAAGATGAATGGCAGTGTGTCTTTTACTGTAATAAATGGTTTTTTAATTTAAACATTTTTCAATCACTCATACATCCACTAGCTGGGTATGGTCGTGCACACTTGTGATCACCACTCCTCAGGAGACTAGGGCTGGAGGACCACAAATTTGAGGCCAGCCTGGGCAATTTAGCTAGACCCTGTCTCAAAATAAAACTTAAAAAGGCTGAGATAATACCTTAGTGGAAGAACGCCCCTGCGTCTAAGACCCAGTAACACAGAAAACATGGATAAATATTTTTTTAGAAGAATATACTTGGCTGGGTGTGGTCGCACACTCCTCTAATCCCAGCATTCAGGAGGCGGAGGCAGAAAGGTCTCTGCAAGTTCGAGGCCAGCCTGAACTGTGTATCAAGACCTGTCTCAAAAATAAATAAACATCGACCAGTGACAGGGTCACTCATTAAGAATTATGTACTGATCTGGACATGATGACATATACCTGTCATCCTAGCACTCTGTGAGATTGAGACAGGGGGATCAAGCAACTTCGCCTGGGCAACTTAGCAAGACCCTGTCTCGAAATGAAAATGTTTTAAAATATGGAGTAGGAATGTATAAGTATAAAGGCCCTGGGTTCAATTCCCAGTACCACAGAGAAGAGCTCTATATGCTCTATAAATTGTACGTCTGTATGTCTTTGCAACTGGCAATGAAGGTTTGTTCACACTGGTATCACCACAAACAAGTGAGAAATGTTTTTAGATGCTACCTAGCATGTCATGATGCAATAGGAATTTTTCAGCTCCATTTTAATCTTATGAGACCACTGTGGATATGTAGTTCATCATCCAAAATGTCACATAACACATGACTGTTGCATTGGGGAGGTGCTAGGGACAGAACCCAAGACCTTCACACTGAGCTACATTCCCAGTCCTTTTTTGAGACAGGGTCTCACCAGCGGTGCCCCAGCTGGGGTCACATTTGTGATCCCCCTGCCTCAGCTTCCCAGAGTACTGAGACTATAAATATGCAGGTATGTACCACTGTGCCCAGCTTTTTCTTCTTTTTTAGACAGGATTTTGCTTTGTAGTTCAGGTTGGCCTCGATCTCAAGGCAGTCCTCCTGCCTCTGCCTCCCCAGTGTTGGGATTCCAAGCATGCACCACCACACCCAGATATGCCCAGGTTGGGTTTTTTTTTAGTGTTTAATTTTATTACTTTATTTTGAATTTTTTTAAATGACACAGGCACACACTTTAAAATATATACCTATAAAGAAATAGATGCAAACTGTGATTTCTAAAATATATTCCAATTATTCAATATGAACCTCATTAAAGTTTTGGTTTATAAATACAACTTTATAAATAACAATGTTAAGAAACTTAAATATATTTGTAGTATGATAGTCAACTATATATAAAGTACTGAAATATATATTGTTTCAAATTTAAAAAGTACATCTCCAAAGAGCTGGATTCAAGTGAAATAAAATAAAATTATACCAATATGTGCTTTACATTATAGATACATAGTTATAAGCCTAAAGTTCAATCAATACAGAATTAAATATTGAGAATAATCCTAATACAAATTCTAGCCCACTTCTACTACTAAGGAAGTATATGTAATCTTACAGAAAATTGGTTCTAGTGAAAGTATCTTAACAAAAAGGGAATAAACTAAAGAGACTCTTAGAGATCTTATAAATGTTCTTATGTTACAGATTAGTGACTGAGGCTCAATCTTAATAAATTGCTTAAGTCATATACTATGGCTTTAAAACCTGTGTATTTTATACTAACTTCACATGTCATGAAATGGCTTTCTGTAATTTTGACGTTTTCTTCAGATAGCCCATTTTCCTGTTTCAGCTGGCTTGTAAGTGCTTCTGACTTCATCTTCCCTAGGGTTTCTTGTTCTTGTATCTCAAGGTCAGTTGTCTTTGGAGGTAGCTCAGATTTTTTTTACCATAGATTTCCTTATTTATGTCTACATCTTTACACAAGGATCCCTCAGTGTATATGCTGTCCATTTCCAAGGGTTGGCATAAAAGAACTAACAACAGATTTAGAATTTTCTGTGGGTACAAAAATGGCAATAAAAGACTCTGTGTTTAATTCAACTGCCTGTTTGTGCTGAGTAAGAATGGGTTTTCCTGTGAATTAATTTCCAAGCAATTATTTGTAAAGCTTGGATTAACAAGATGATTGGTAGTTACTTCAAGCGTTTCTTGGGTTTTCAAAGACTGCTGAATACCTTCTGAATTTGAAGTTGTCAAAGCAATAGTTGTAGAATTTTTATTCTCAAAAGATGTATGAAAACCACCTCCACCTAAACCTTGGTTGACTGATGATTTCATGGTAGACTGTGGGTTGATAGATTGGTTAGTTCATTCATTCGTTTTTCGGTATCTTGTTTAATTAGATGAGTTAATAAGTTCTTTTGCATACTTCCTGTTTTGGGATCTGGTGGGTTTACCATGGCATCCGAATCAAGTAGTTCTGTGTGTTCAGGGAACACATCTGTGTCAATTGTATTTTTCTTTGCCTCATTTGATGTAAATGATTTTTTTTACTTGGCTTTTAGATGCACTTCTTTCTCATCTTCTAGGTTTTTCTTCTGAGGTTTTTTGTTTTCATTTTTGTTTTTTTGGAAAGGCCTTTTCTCTTGACAGTCTTTAAGCAAAGAAAATGTTGTTGGACTTGCAAGCGGGTGTTTTGTTTTGTTTTGTTTTGTTTTGTTTGTTTTGTTTTTTGAGATAGGGTTTTACTATGCAGTTCAAGTTGACTCCTGCCTCAGTCTCCTGAGTGCTGGCATTACAGGCGTGCATCACTATGCCTGGCCTAAATTGCTGTTTGTTTTAAATATGAATACCCCATCTGTTGTCAGGAGAATCAGAAGTAAAATGGTCATTGTAACCACTCTTCAGGTCTTTCTCTGTCATGTAGAGGAAACCCTGTGCTCTGCACTAAGGAGGGGTAGGTACACCTCTGAACAGGATATAGTGATGACTCCAGCTGTGACACAGAGCCTTCAAGGCCTTATTCTTGTAGCTCAAGGTCAGTTGCCTTTGGAGGTAGCTCAGAGATTTTTTTGCTATAGATTTCCTTATTTATGTCTACATCCTCACCCAGTCTTTGTGCCTTCAGTTTTCTCAAGAGAAAATAGATTAAAGTATACTTGTGTAGCCTAACTCACAGGCATGGAATTCTAAGCACACCTTCCTGCTTAGCAGGTTTGATAGCCCCTAGATGCTGGTTAGTGTCATTCAGTGAAATGGGATCAGGGCAGATGAGGGGGAGGCTTTGAAAACCACCAACCACTGCTCAGACTGTTAAAACCCAAATCAGCTGCTCAGCGTCACCAGCAGCCAGGTCTAAAGAGAATGTGTTCTGAACTCAAGCCACTCCGCCTGCGGTGCCGAGACAACAAGGAGCACGTAACTAATTTCTAGACCTGATAGGAGATGTCTGGTCCCTGGCTTCAAAGCCCACAGGCCATAGCCTAGAAGTGGAACTTTTTGAGACAGTCTCTCTAAGTAGTCCAGGTTGCCCTAGAATTCACTGTGTAGCACAGGCTCCTGCCTCAGCCTTCCAAGTACTGGGTTTATAGGCAGGCACACCACTCCTAGCCACATTGTCTTTACTGCTACCTTCTGTGCTGTGGGTGTTTTTTTTGTTTTCTTTTTGTTTGTTTTTTGATTTTTTTCTGCGGTACCAGGAACCGAACTCACGACCTTGCGCTTGCCAGGCAGGCGCTTTTGCTGCTGAGCTAAATCCCCAGCCCCTGTGCTTCTGTTTTTTAATTTGCTTTGGAAAACTGCATGGAGGAGTGCACCTAGGGCAGACTGATCACCCATTCTACCACTGGCCTGTACCAGTCCCTCAAAAACTTCAGCATCTTTTTTTTTTAACCTTTTATTCCTTTTTTTAAAAATCCTTGACTTTGGTGGTTTTTTTAAAAATTGGTCTATGATTTGCCTCCATCCTGTGAAGCACTGTAAACTCAGAATAACTGAAGAATTAAGATTCTAGTATGAACAGTATTTGAATTTGAAAAAAGTAATCCTGTTTGGATTCCAAGTTTTGAACCACATGTATAGAAATGTAATTAATTCAAAGGAACTTACCATCATAACATTGCAGGCAAAACAGATGTGATTAAAATTAATTAGGTTGGGCTGGGGATTTAGTTCAGTGGTGCAGCACCTGCCTGGCATGCATGAGGTCCTGAGTTTGATTTCTAGTACTCTGCCCCCCTACCAAAAAAATATATGTGTACATTCTCCACAGATAAAATTAATTAGGTTATTGATATATCAGATGAACTGAAGGCATTAATTTAGATGGGCTCATGGGTGAGTCATGATTTGTTAAGAGTGTACTGTTCTGGGGCTGGGGATTTAGCTCAGGGGCACAGCGCCAGCCTAGCAAGCACAAGGTCATGAGTTCAATTCCCAGTAAAAAAAAAAAAAAAAAAAAAGAGTGTACTCTTCTGATGGCCTTAAAGTCCTGGGATAATAAAGTATTGAGATTTGAAATGTGCAAAGTACTATTTGAATAAGGAAATAAAGTGACATTGGAAGAAAGTAAAGCAGATGAATAGGTGAAAAATGAATGATAATGGTAGTAGTGTTGTCTGCTGCTTGATGACGGGAACACAGTCTCAGATCCTGGCTGGCAACTTCTTTATGTGTGAGCATCCTCGAGTATACCTACACAAACTAAGGGCTGCCACAGCTCTAGCAGTGTCATATGGATCACCAGCATGTGTGTTCCATCATGTACTGAAACATCACTATGTGGCATTAACTGTGTTAGGGTGACATAAGAGAACAGTGTCACTGAGTGAAAGAGGAATGATTAGTGGGAAGAGTTGGAGATTTTAAGCTCTTTAACAGCACGAGCATTTAGTTACAGAATGGTTACCATAAAGGAGATGGGAAGCCAAGCATGGTGATACCTTCCTATAATCCTAGCACTCTAGGAGGCTGAGGTAGGAGGATAACAAGTTCAGGTCCCATCTGAGGAATCTAATGACACCCTGTCTTAACTGAAAAATGAAAAGTATTGCAATTCTAATGCAGTGGGGGTTCAAGCCCTGGGTTCAAGCTCCAGTATCACCAAAAAAAAAAAAGAGAGAGAGAGAAAGATGGGAGACTGGGCCTACAGAATAGAGCACTCATACCTTTTTCGTTACTGTGCTGAGATCACTCTTCCTTTCCTTTTTGCCTATGTACTGTATTTAAGATTACCTACCCACCCAAAACAAAAAGGACCTTTTTGTGCCCCCTCTACACTTACATGTTTTTATAATAATGCCCATTTTACTGGTTTTGTCTCTTCACCTGTGTGTCTGCTTATATAACTAAACTCTTGAGGTTTGACTTATCCTGCATCAAACGTCAAAAGAGTTTAGTTATATAGAGAGGGCACAAAAAGAAGTTCTTAAATTCCAATAGAAGTGAACAAAAACAGGAATTCTACAGGATTATAGAATTTACTTGAAAATCTGTGTAAAGAATTAAAAAGTGCCATACTACACCTTGGAGATTTCTAGAGTCCATAAGAGGAATAAAATTTTAAAAGTTCCAAGGAGTCTGTGTGTGGTAGTGTATACCTGTAATCCCAGTACTTGGGAAGCTGAGTCAGGAGGATTGTTGCATGTTCAATGCCAGCCTAGACTACATAGCAAGTTAAATGAAAATTAGTCTGGACTACATAACAAGACCCTGTCTCCCAAAAAAAGAGTCCCAAGCAGTCTCAGTAACTTAGGTCCAGATTTAATCATCTAAAAAATTATTGGTTTGTATGCCAACTTTTAGATTAAAAGTGAAAGATAGCAGGCATTAATAAATTGCCCCTGTGTTTTCCAAAAGTTACTTTAAAATTCTTTTCTTTCCTGCAGATTGATAGGCAGCAGTTTGAAGAAACTGTGCGAACTCTAAATAACCTATATGCAGAAGCAGAGAAGCTCGGGGGCCAGTCCTATCTCGAAGGCTGTCTGGCATGTTTAACAGCGTACACCATCTTCTTATGCATGGAAACCCATTATGAGAAGGTAAGGAAGGCCATGTTTGTTTTCACAAAGTGTCTTATAAGAAGATGAATTTATTATGCGTGCGTGTTTACATGGTAACAAGTGCCATAATCTTAAGGGGGCATTTATAATAATACTTGCAATTTTGTCATTGCTCCCCCAGGGAAGATTCCTGAGTGTTTCAGAAACAGGTCAGAATTGGAATGTCTGCTTGGAATTGACATGTCTGTGCTGAGATCAGCTACACTTCAGACCAGTATAGAAAATCTATATTCTCATTCTATCCAGCTCTTTAAGAATTCTTTTATTTTTTTGTCCCAAATTTTGATCTTCAGTCCTGTGCTCACACCTCAGTTGTTATCTTCTCTTTCCAACTGCCTTCCAAACCCGTAGTGGCTGGCTTATTAATTTACGATTCTCAGAATTCAAGCTCCCATCTCCCCAGCTTTGTTAAGTAGCACCTTGTCATGTCAGGGCCATCTTTAGGCGCAAGGGATGAAGAGAGAAGATGAACTCAGTCATCAAACGCTGGAGTACGTTGCATTTTCCCATGCATTAACTTTTCTTTCCTCTGTGACTATCCTTATTTGTACCCTTACCATCTCTCGCCTACATTATTGAAATTATCTCTTGGCCTCTCATTCCTTCCTTTCTTCTGTTCCCATCCTGTCTATTGGTCTTCATAAAACATAACCCTTCTTCCCCTACCAAGAGCTTCCTGTCTCTCCAGGTACTGCTCTTGGGTCAGGTTCAGCTCACTTCTCCAACTCTTATCTCCCACCCTTCCTTCACTTTCTTCCAACAGTCACCACCGATACCCTCCATAGTTTTCCTTCACCTGAATGACATTCCTCCCATATTCAGTACAACTAATCCCTTATTCCCCACACCCATTTACCTTCTTAACGCTTCTGCTCAGAATTCTTTCCTTCTGTTTCTCAAACATGTGATTTATATCTATTTTCTGGCATTCTGCTTTGAAATACAACAGTTTATGTTCCAATTTCACCTTCTGTGTATGGTTCTTGGGTCAAGGACAATACCGTAGCTCTTTTTGTATCGCTTTTAGTGGCTTAGACCATGCTTTGAGTACCTTAGGCGCTCACTGAATGCAAGTTACATAAATGGCTTTCACTTAATCATCACAGTAAACTCCAAGTACATCTTTAAATTCTGATAGTGTTTAGGAAATGAAACCCTTTAAGAATATCTGTTACACCCCACCTGATAGAAATGTCCCTGTGATTGTTTTACGCTCCATGTAGCAGAGAGCAAATATAGTTACAGCTAAAATCCTTTGAGCCCCTGGCTGCAGATGTTGGTGTATTCTCCCCCACCCACCAACAGTGAAGCTCTTCATGACTTCTGTTCTTCACTAGCATCCAGACATGCACTCTGTAGTCTTAACTATAATTCTGTCATATGTAGAAAGATTTAAATAACTAAGTTTATTTAAATTATTTGTTAAATAGTTTATATACTCTGTATTACATACAGTGCTAACTTTTATTCCTATTTAACTTTCAAAATCAGAACTTAACAAGGATCCATATCTGCTTTCAATTTATGTTTAGTCTTACGATCTCTTCAATAGTGTGTTTGGTAAATGAAGGATCAGAGAATTCATTAATTTAATAAATATTTATTAAATTCTTACTATGTGCTAAGCAAGCTGTTAAGTAGGGTGCCAGGAACATAACTGAACAGAGCAGCCATAGTTGCTGACCTTATGGAGTTTATAATTTCATGGTAACAAACTGCTAGCAACAAAAAAGTAAAAGCATCAAAACTATATGTTGTAATAAGTGCCTTGTAGGAAGCACTGGCCTGTGATAGAAAATAGTAGGAAAGACATGATTGAGAGTGTATGGTCAGAAGAGGCCTCTGTGACAACGGCATTTAAGCTGCTGTGTGAAGAATGAAAAGCCTTGCCCTGTTCAGGCAAAGAGATGAATATATGCAAAGGCCCAGGAGCTTAAAACCCCGGGAATCAGAAGAAACAGTGTAGTTGCTTTATTTGGGTACTAAAATACTTAGCAGCTCTCTGCTCTGTCTGGTAGCTCATGGCTGTAATCGCAGCACTTGGGAGGCTGAAGCAAAAGTATTATAAGTTTGGGTTCAGTTATAATTTGTGTCTAGATGTCCCCCTCCAAAGTCTCATGCAGTCGTGGGGCAGCCTTGTAGAGTTTATGATTAATTCATAGGTGTGAGTGCTATATGCTCCCTGGGGTAGATAGTTTGCATATAATGTAAGGGAGGGAAAGGGGCTGCTTGCCACCATTCCTCCCTTTTGTTCTTACTGCTTTTGCTGTTTTCCACTACCATGAACTGTTGCCCTGTGCTATGTGCCACTGTCTTGGAGCCAGCTGAGTATGGACTGAAACCTCCACAAACTGTGAGCTAAATAAACCTTTCCTTCCTTAATTTTGGGCATTGGGTATTTTGTCCCGGCAACCAGTGAAAAGTAACCAAGGCAGGCTCCATGCAAGTTCAAGGGCGCTGTGGACTACATAGTAAGATGCTACCTCAAAAACAAACAACAAAGAAAACACCTCACAGCTGTCAGTTAAAGTTATATATCTTAGAAGATGATTCTTGGGATCAAATACAATGAAAATTGGTTCATCCTCGTATGTGTTTTAATAGTAATTATGGGTAATTATATAAGGTACAGCTTTATAGGTCTAATCAAGGTCTCTGTTTTTATAGAGCAAATATTATAAAGCAAATAAAGATCAAATAAAATTAAGATTTAAAGCATAACCGGGCGTGGTGGCGCATACCTGTAATCCCAGCACTTGGGAAGCTGAGGCACGAGGATCAGTGCAAGTTCAAGACCAGCCTGGGCTACAAAGTGAATTCAAGGCCAGCCTGAACTACATAATGAGACCCAGTCTCAAAAAAAAAAAAAAAAAAGACTTAAGGCATGGCCACATTTTTTAAATAGATGATTTTTTTTTTTTTTTTTAAGAAATTGGGTATAAACAACTAGATCATGCAAAGTTAATAACTGGAATAATTAAGGTATACTTACGCTTTTAAAGAAAACTTTTTAGATAGTTTGTCCCCTCAGAGTCTGTGTGCTATTATTTATTTCTTAATGAAAGGACGGGGTTGAGTCACTTAGTCTCTGTTGTTTTAAACACTAAAACACCCACTGTACAAACAGAAACCCAAGTATAATAATGCTTACAGTTTGTCATGTAAAATTTTTGAAATTATAAAGAAAGCCTTTTAAAACTTGCTAGCACAATCATGTATTTTGTTTCTTATTAATATCGTATTTATCGATTTAAAATGAAAATAAAGACCTCACTGTTACTTCTCTATTGTTGCCATTACGGAACAAGTGAGCTTGTAGAAGATTCTCCTCTCACTGTTCGCCTTGTTTATCAGCAGAAAACATTCCTTCTGCCTGTGTGCTGTAATCTGCAAAACAAAGTTAGGACACTTGAGTATTTCCTGAAAATGCCAAGGTTCTGATGTTCTCACTGAACCTCACTCAGAAAAACATAGAATTTTGTTAAGATCATAAGAATTTTCTTACATAGTAGTAAATGAAAATAGAATGTCAACACAGGGTTTCATGGGATGAGAATGGTACTGTCTTCTGTCAGGAGTTGCAGCAGTTTACTCAGATTAATGGTATTCATTTGTGAAAAGACAGAGTTAAAGCACTTGTTGGGACAGTGTTGCCTTCACCAAAGTTGTAGAGAGGATTTGGAGCTTATACAAAAATAAAGCTAGTACTTTTTCTTTCTAAACTGATAGCCAGGTGCACATGAATATTAGTACAGTTTAATGAAAACCTTGTCCAACAAAGTAACCCTTGAGTCAAATAGAGGAATGCTATTTCCTTGCTAGTACTTTGTACGCAGGAGAGGAGGAAAGCTGTTCTGAAGGAATCTTTTCTTCAAAACCAGCCATGTGCGCATTTTTCTGAGTGTCCCCTCCAGGATTAATGGGCTGGGGTGAAGGGAGTCTGGGTCTCCAGTGTCTGATTCTGACAGGTGTACTGAGAAGGAAATTGGAGAGAAGATTGAGAGTCCTGGGTCGGACACCTTTACAGGCTGCTTCTTTCTTTTCATTACTTTAGGAAGATTGACAAACTCTGATAGAAACATAGTACCTACGGGGTTGTTTTATCTTTTCTTTTTTTCCTCATATGACCAAGCATAGCCCAAATTCTTTTGAGAGCTAAAAATGGGAGAGTGATTACACAGAAAAAAATCTTCAGTAATAGTTTTACTAAATAAAAAACAATGTAGATTGCACTTTCAGTAATACTACCTTTTTTTGTTGTTGTTCGAGACAGTGTCTTGCTATGTAGTTTTGGGTGGCTTTGAACTCACTATGTAGCCCAGGCTGGCCTCAAACTTGTGACAGTTCTCCTGCCTCAGCTGAGTGCTGGAATTACAGGTGTGCATGCACAGCATATCACCTTTTTTAAAAAAGAATAAAACATGAGTTGTTTTATCCCCAAATAGGTAACCTGAATATACTATTTTCCTTCCCCCAAAAATTCTTTATACAAACTAACAAACCAGCCTATGCCACCAGTCCCAGGTCCCTGCCCAGGCACCACTGGAGAGGAACCAGCCCATTCCACCCAGCTAACCCCCCCAGAGTGCCACTAGTGGGGACATAGTCCTGCTAGTTTGCTCCCCTGCCTCCTGCCTCAGGGCATAGAAAGGTGAATGACAGAAACAGAGTCAGTTTAGCATACGGGCAGCCAGGGGGCTCTTGCCTCTAGAGAAAGGAGCCCATAATATTAGGCTCATCCTGCTGTTATTCACTCAGACACAGGTAAGCAACTCAAGTAACTCAAGTAAAGTAAGACTCATTTGCCTTCCGTTATCCATTAGTACACAGCCCGGTAAACAACCTGATCTCAGCTGTTACTCTTTTCCCTAGAACCTGCAACCTGCCATCATCTCTATGTGTTGCTTTTCTCCTTTGTGCTCGCAGAGAAAGTTTTTAGACCTTAATTCTCCTCTGGTTTCCCACAACAAATATGTAAATTAAATTTTAAATTAAATTCTAAATCCTCTTACATAAAAGCATCTAAATTGTAACATCCTAATTTGTTACCTTGGCCTGGTATATTATACATGCATCCTTAAATCATTGCTTAATTTCCAGTTTTATTTTTATTGTTCTTTTTTCCCTTTATGTTGCAATCACACTTTTTACTTTCTCATTTACTGATAGTGGGAATTTAAGGAAATGTACGGTAATTTAAAGAGCTGGATCAAAGCCTCCTTGAACATTAGACCTGGAAAAAGTTACGCTGAGTTTGAACCCAAAATAAAACATGTAACTCTTGATGTTGGATAAAGCTATTAAGATTTATGTTTTTTCTTCTCATTTACCTGTCTCAATACTGTTCTTATTAAAGCTGGAGATTTGGTTATTTCCAGAAGTTCCATTGTATCCTCTCTGGTTTTTCTCTGCATTTGCTTTGACTTTTACAAGCTTAATACTAAATTTATAAATTGAGGTTCCTGTCTAGAAAACAAGCCAGCTATAGAATAGCATTACACGCAAACATGGAAATGATGGGGCTGGGGATTTAGCTCAGCGGCAAAAGCGCCTGCCTGGCAAGCGCAAGGTCGTGAGTTCGGTTCCCGGTACCGGAGAAAAAAACCAAAAAAAAACATGGAAATGATATAAACCACTTACAGTGAAAAACTCCAGGGCACCTAATATGTACAAGGCTTTACAAAGAAGTAAGGTTTTCACTTTTAAAATGAATGGGTACCCTTTTGTTATAGGCCAACGTTATAGCATTACGTAAAATGAACGAAAATATAAAAGGAGGTAGGTAACAGCTCTTATATGTTAAAAGAGAAAGCCAAGAAGTATCCTTGGTGTTAGAAAAGTCACACTGACACTTTATGAGTAGTGAAAGGTAAGTGTTACTGTCCACTGTGTACCTAACCTATTTCTCTGTATCCAGGACTGAGGAGACTGGAAGGGGCTGGGCAGTTGGTTCTTGTTCTGCTTTTGTATACGTGGGCATTTACACTGCATTGAAGACACTATAAAGAGCCCATCATACTGTCCTATGTGCAGTCATGAGGGAGCTAAATAATCAGAGCTCTGGTCTGCCTTATAATTGTCCATATGACTTGTCTTAAAATCTGATTCCACTTTCTGAATGTTTTGAGATGTAGCTAATACTTCAAGGAAAATCAAATGAAACATTTAAAAAGCTGTGATGTTTCTTTCTGCCAGGTTCTGAAGAAAGTCTCCAAGTACATTCAAGAACAGAATGAGAAGATATATGCCCCCCAAGGCCTTCTTCTAACAGACCCCATTGAGAGAGGACTTCGAGTTGTATCTTTTTAGTCCAGATTATACACTCTAATTGTTTATTTAAAAAAGAAATTTGGTACTGTTTGGCATTGGCTAGGGAGAATTTAACTCCCATCTGTTGTATTTGGCTTGGGAAGTTTCTGTGTGAATCTCGTGTCTGCCCTAAGGGTCAGTCTCCTGACATTCTTTTTTCCTCAAAGCCTGACTCTGTCCTTCACATTGTGCAGGTCTCTGGCTCATTTAGTAGTCTGGTTACCACCTTTCTTGGTGTTCTGAGGGCATCTTGCAGTAATGATGGAGGTGGTGGGGTAAGTAATGTATTTTAGCTGCAGAGACTCTGCGCCTAAAGCGCTTTGAAAGTATAAACTCTTAATAGTCCTCCCAAAGAATTGCAGTTCTGTGGGTTCACTTGACCAGCTGAAATCAGTTACAGCTGCCAGATCTGTAATTTCATTACCTTTGACACACTGTGCATGTTTTTAGAGGCAGTAAGTGCTAAGAGTAACTATTGAATATGGTAAATAAAACTAATTTAGTATGGTAACTGAAGCAATGGATAAATAATTTTTTTTTAATTCAGGGTGCATAATCCCTGGCCTTCCAGCTGATAATAATTTCATCAGTTTTATCATTTGTTCTGTAGCAAATAATTGTTAAACTTTTAGAGGTCATGAGCCTGCTCCCAAAAAAAATAGTTTTCATGTCATTTCAGAGCATGTTTGAATCCTGGAATTCATTACCTCCATTATTTGTCAACTAAGAACCCCCTAGTTGTGCCCATAAAGCATTCTTTTCAGATTATTCTTTTTTAATTAACAGTTGAGAAGGAACTACATGTGAAATACTACAAGTAATAATACTTATTAAAATACTCAGCAAAGTAGAGAAAGCATGATTAACATAAGTAGGAAGAAGTGTTAATAATTAAAAATAAGCAGAGTCTGTGCAGAATTTGCACCTCATCTTGCCATAGTCATCTTTTTATGTTGTTACATACTGTATTTTCTTAACAGCCATGCTGTATAGATTGAAATTACCATTTATGAAGACAGAGGCATGAGCAGTGGAAGATAAACCATCGATTTTAAGGTAAGTATGAAATTGTATGGCTTAGATGCAGCTTTTAGAAATCTGAAGTATACATGATTCTTCTTCCCTGTGTGGTAAATAAGTTATTAAATCATGCATCTAAGTAAGATTATATTCATTGTATTAGCTTAATTAAGCTAGTCCTTGCATTAGCTTGCTACCTGAAATGTGTGTATAATCCAGGTTCTTTTTCAGTAGTAAATTTAAATCTCATTTCTCCCCTATTGTACCATATTTAAGTGGCTTCAGAATGCTATAGAAGAAACCACCTAATGGGTAGAACCAAAAATTTCACTCCTTTGTTTAGAATGTTAATATTTTTGTATATCCAAATAAAATCGTTTGATGAGTAAGAAACAAATCAGTAGGCAGAATCATGTTGAGTTCCTAAGTGTATTTGTCCACCCTTCTAAGGGACAAAAAAATGGTACTTCACCATTTCTGCCAATTTCATGCTCTAAATTTATATACTCTAATTGTCTTGTCTTGCAGATGGCTATTACTAATTAACAAGCTGCACAGACACAGAATGTACCAAATCAGATGTATTCCTCTCTAGGGCAGCAATAATAACAGTTACTATTTCAAGAGCACCTACTATGTGGTGTGTATTGTACTAATAGTACTTCTAATCTCACAAGAACTCTGCAGAGTAGTTTCCCTATTTTACAGATGAGCAGACAGGTACAAAGAGATTGAATGTCAAGGTCGTACCGTTAACGAGTACTGGAATATGAACCTAAGTCTGATTAACCATAAAAGGCTTCTTTTTACACCATACTTCCTCGGCAGCAGCAGGAACATAGTTTATCAGCGTATTCCCAGGGTTTATCCTCATTTTCCCTTTCAATAGCTTTTTAAAAACACATTTTGACTGCTCGTGTTCTGTTTATTAAATCCTACAGATCATCCAGCGTTCCAAAACTGTCTTCCTTTAGCATTAATTACCTGAGTTCTTGAAAGCCTGGGATCTAAATAATGACACCCTTGCCATATGTTTTATTTCTTTAAGAAGGCTTTGTTTTGGAACACATAGTGCTACTTCTTACAAATACATTTCTCATGTACAATTTCCAAACTGATATTTCTCAGGCGAGTACCCAGGAACTGTCTGTGTGGTTTTTGTTACATGCGCTTGGCGTACATTTGTTTTATCAATTGCAGCTGCGTTAACTCGGCACAGCCAGTTTGTCATGACTCATTTTGCAGCTATTATTGCTTAATAGGATGTTTTCGGGGGCGGGGGAGGGGGAATTTGAGCAATTACACACTAGAGGTTAATCTATCAATAGTCAAACAAATGGAAATTTTGAAAGGGAAAGATTTACATTAGGAACTTCTGGAGAGTTTCATCATTGCAAGTATTTTTGTTTAACACAATTTAATTTTCAGAGCTGTGTTCCTTAGTCTCAGGACCCAGTGTTTGCTGAGATCTTGGGGTTAAGGAGAACTGGAAGAATAATTTATTCAGTTCAGCCATTTTTCTTAACTCTGTAAAGTGTCTGCAGGTTGAAGTGTTATATGGAAATTAAATGAAGGCTTTAACAAAAGAATAATGTACACTTAATCATGGAGTTGTCCTTTATTTTTGTTTTATCTTGTTTTTCCTTGTGGTAGAAATTGAACCTGGGGCCTTGTGCATGCTAGGCAAGCACTGTACCACTGATCTACATGCCCAGCATATGGCTTCTTTTTGAGCCAGGGTCCAGGGTCTTGTTACATAGTTTGGGCTGGCCTTGAACTCACTATGTAACCCAAGCTGTCCTCAAACTCGTGGCAATCCTACTGTCTCAGCCTCCTGAGTGCTGGGATTACAGATGTGTGCCACCATGCCCAGCTATGGCCTTTATTTTTAAAAAGAGCTTTAAATAAAAATATTTTGCTCTTTTTAATTTTTTAGTATCACATGGGTATCTTTATTACTAGATACACTAATGTTTTATTGTCAGGATTAAGACTTGTCTTTATATAAGAATGAAATACATTTTCTATCACAATAACCTAGTGATAATAAAAATACAGTGGTACCTTAGTTCATGATGGAATTAGACAAGAACTAAATCAAAGTCAGTGGTTAGGTTTAGTGTTGGCCTTGTGGGGAAATTTGATTTGGTTCTTGTCCAGTTTGGTTTTCGACCACAGTCTTGGAAAGAATTAAGTTTGTGAGCTGAGGTACCATTATATGTGACATTTATTGGCACTTAAGTGCCAGCACTGTTTGAGATCACTAATTTTATCGTCATAGTGACTGCAAGTATGCTGTCCCTATTTCTCAGGTGACAGAACTGCAGCATAGAGTACTTAATCCTTGTCCATTGAACCGCTGGTAGGTAGCAGCCAAGGCCGTGCAGCCCCAGGGTGGACCCTGACCGGTGCTATGCTACCTTTCATGATACGGTTAGCCAGAGATTAAATACACAAGACTGGATTTTTGCACTGTTGCTTTTCATCCTGGTTTAGACGCGTCACACATACTCAAGTACATTGTCAGGTAGAAGCATGGGTTAATGGAATATAACCTACATTTTATAAGCTTATATCAGTTGCTGTAAGAAAGATAGTTTCAGAAGTATTTTTTGTTTTGTGTTGTTTTTTATTATTTTAAAGAGTAAAAGAAGGATAGTAATAGGGGGGCTTACCGAATTACAGGCAAAATGGTAGGAAATTATCAATGGTTTTTGTTTAATATACTGTTACCTACAAGATAGTTTCTCAGGAAAACAATAGACAAATAATAGTGAGTTACAGACAGAAGTGGTAGGTTACTATCAGTGGTTGTTGTACTATACTTTGGTATCTTCAGAGAAGTTATTTTTTGCATCGATTTCTAAAACCTTTTCTTTTCCTCTAAATGTAGATCCCACCTCCCACTGGGACTCTCGTCTGTCCACTGACTGATCACAGAGTGTCCCTACCTCGTCTCCGAGCATCATTCCTTTGTATCTGCTGCCAGAGCCATGGTGCCATTTACTCCAAGGACTAACTTTCTAAAATTCCATACCTGGAGTGACCTCTAGTCGCTCAGCATCCACTTTATGTCTCTAAATTGTGTAGGACTGTTAATCTTTTGATGAGTTTCTGAGAAAACACAATGAAGCATTTCACTTTTTTAAATTCAGAGCCATTTAGTAAAATACGCAGTTGGTCGCCCACTACAGTTTTATTTCTTCCCTGCCACCAGTACCACTTTATTTCTTGGCCAGTTTCCCAGGTGGCTCTTGAGTTCAACAAGTCCTGTCTTAGACAGTGTTCGGTCTGATTCCCCCAAGTTAAAAAGCTTTCTTCCAGGTGGAGTTAGGTATGTCTGTGGTTTTGCTAGTGCAGTTCCCAGATTTCAAAGAACTACCTATTTTGCTATGATTCAAATCCTAAGATTGATTTCTGCTCTTCAGTTTCTCAAACTGAAGCTCATTGAAGAAAATAATGTATAATGTGATTTGTCTCAATATAGCAACTATTCCTAATTAAAGCAGTATTTAATGCAATTTCCAGTTAATTCCTTTGGAGACTTTTATATTATTGCATTGCCTTGACTGTTGGGAAGATGTCTGTGTTGTTTGTTCATTACACAAATAAGTAAGCACAATAAAGTGGATGCTAAACCATCAAACAGATAAATGTCTTTGCTGTGTCCCTGAGTGTGTAATAAGAAAGTGTAATACATATTGTAATTATTATTTTGTTATAACTGTAACTTATGAAGGAAAAATTTGATAGGAATAATACTGTATATTGCTAATTTTTAACCCTACTGGCAAACAGTATGATTCATAGACTCTTTATATACAGTATTCAGTGCACGGAACTCTTAAGATTGGTTAAAGTTAAGTGACTTACAAGTTAAACCCTCAGTCTGAGTCTGTATTTCTAGCTCCTTTCGTCTGTATGTTCTTACTATTGGGTTTCTGATGCCCTTCATTCTTTTGGGAGTTTGAGAGCACTGTATTTGAGAGAAAGTTAAGAAATATATTAGGAAAGAATGAAGCAGTTAAAGTTTTATTTTCAGAGATATTGTAGGTGCTAATACAGGATTTAACCTTCAGATTTAATTTCTTTTCTGGATCTGGTAGTTATTCAGTAAATCCCATAGGTCTGTGTAATATTTTAATTATATAAGACTCCTTTATTACTTTATAGCCTGTAACAGCGTGTCTGTCTGCCTTTTAAACCCGTTGCAATAACTTTGCTGAAATATTAACACATTAGTAAAACTTTTCTTAAACAAATTGTCTGTGTGTCATATTTGGTGTGATTTAGTAAATGATAAATGAGATGACATTAAATATTTGTAGATTGGGCCTGGGGATATAGCTCAATGGCACAGCACCTGCCTGGCAAGCACAGGGTCCTGAGTTCGATTGCCAGTACCAAAAAAAAGTTAAATTTGGCAGATAGACAGTACTTAAATCACCGGAACAATATAGATTCATATTTTTAAACAAATATCTTCCATTTATATAGTAGCTCACACTTTTCAGTTTACATAATTTAAGCAAATATGGTATTTTGAATAAAAATCAAATAAGTTGGGTGTGGTGGCACACACCTGTAATCCCAGCACTTGGGAGGCTGAGACGGGAACTGCTGCAAATCTGAGGCTAGCCAAAACTACATAGCAACACCCAGTCTCAACAAAATCAAGAAAGAGTGCCTACTAATGAAAAACCTCCATAAAGAGATTCCAGTGTTTGTTTCATTAGGAAAAATGTATCCCAGGTTTTATTACTATCTTGGATCGTTTGATGGCTATTTTTAAAAATGAGGTAGATTTGGACAGTTTATAAGGTAGTCTTTTCCTTTTGTGAATTTGTTTTTCCTTATAAGATTTTCAGCATATCTTTCCTAATGAAGTGGATAGTAAATAGTATACGTAGGCACATACTCTGTAATACTGAAAACGTGCAAATGTGTAAAGGGTAGTAAACATCTAATTAACATCTGATTTGCAGCGAATTATTAGAAATGTGGAAGTGCAGGCTCTGGACTGCCTGACTTCCAGGAGTGAGCTGCACATCGTGTCCGCAGTCAGTAAACATAGTGACAGCCTGAAGTCTGTGGCCCTTCCAGGTTATATCCTAAGCACTTCCATGCACCTCAGCTGGTACAGATGTGCTCGGAACATCTGTGTAAAGCTGAGAAACCCAAGAGAGACTGAATGCCAACTCTAGATTTCTAAGCCCAAGTTTTACAAGAAGAAATAATTTGATAAATCAGGTACTTTCAAGGATTTTTAGTTAAACATTGTCAGGTTAGAACAAGTTTACACCAACAGAATTTTCTGGGTTTGGGGTTTTTGGTTTTGTTTTTTCACTTAAGAGACAGGCCTTGCTGTGCTGTCCAGGCTGGCCCCAAACTCCTGTGTGCAAATACTCTGAACCTCAGCCTCCCAAGAAGCTGTTACTACAGGGATACTCCACAGCATTTGGCTCTTTCAGTTTTTTTTAAATAATATTCAAGCAAGTTAGTATTTGTTGCCCCTAGTAACAATTTATTTAACTTTGTGCTGTCACTTTTACCTTGGAAGTAGAATCTTAAATCTTTAGATTCACAGATCACCTTGCCTTTAAAGAATTTTTTTGTTTATACTTATAAAAGTTCTTTTAAAAACTTTTTAGGCCACTGTGAGCTCTTTCAGTGGCTGGCTGTCATCCTGTAGTGTACCCTCCCTACTTTTAACTGGCCCACACTCATTCTCAAGAGCAAACTTCTACCTTTACTAAATGTAAAACCGCACTGCCTTTTACATTTGTCTTGTCAAATTCTTTGTTCGGGACAAGAACCTGGAAAGAATCTAGAAGCAACCCACAGAACCCCAGACAGACCTCAGTAACACAGTCTTGGTGAGCCCAGCCAGGAGGGAAGAGCAGTTTTGTTTGCAGGTGAGAAAAATGCCTGTGTCTGGCTACTAGCATTCTTCCTGCTCCATGTTGTGCTGCTTGCCTTGCACCTCTCCTCACTGCAAGCATGCATCCTTGGCAGGTGCCATGCACGCTAGGCGGGCATCATGTAGGGGTCAGCTCGTGCCAAGATCTGCAGGGTGGGGTGTCCTCCATGGTTGCATAAGACGGAGGCTGCCAGAGAGCCTGTTTCTAGCCCAGTCTAGGAATGGACCATCAGTTCCTGTGTGCAACCTAGGGCTTAGTATGCTTTACCCCACATTTTTGTTCTCCCCAGTACTTTATTTAGCATTCTCACTTTGAAAGAATAGCTTGGTCTCTGTTGAGTACCTGCCTACCTCAGCCTGTCCCTTTCTGTGCTCAGTCTCAGCAGCAGCAGGAAACCTCACCCTTACAGATACGCACTAAAGCTGCGACTTTGAGGGAGCACGTGTGCCTGTACCCCTCTTCTATTCCAGAAAGGATTGGATCCCCTCCCAGAACGCTCTGAAACTTCCTGGAGTGAGGACCATGAAGGGCAGCAAGGTGAAGAAATGAAGACAAGATACAGAAAGCTGGGATCAAGTGGAGCCCTCTCTCCAGATGGGAAGAAAGGAATTGTGCAGCCACCATAGCACATTTTCTATATATGGGGCAGACTGATGTCACATGACACCTCTGCCTTGCAACCCATTGCTTGGATTGTCTCGGGGCTTGGTGTTCTCTGGGCTGGAGCAGCTTGTTTACATGGCTTGTCTCTTGTGCTTTTTGTTCTCGGACTGGGCTTGCCTTGCCCCTGCACATGTGATCGATTTCCAGCTTCAGCCACTCCCTACAATCCCCTCCTGTTTCTTCTACCTGAAATTGAGGTGCTTAAAACATGTGCCTGACTACCTGAGCAGAACATAGGGAACAGCCAGTGAACTCAACTAGCTGTGAGTGTGCAGAAGTAGAGCTGGAGTCAATAGATAATAGACCCTACCCTTGGACTAAAAACTTTTAAAGATTCCCCTCCCCCTATAAGTGCTAGGGGCGGGGGGGGGGTTCTACCTTTACTGCATTAAAGTAATTATCAAAGTTTTTCTTATCAGGATAACCATGAGGGCCATTGTTTCTCAGACGGCTAGAGGGAGACTTGAGGCCCCATCCTTCTGTTTCATCCTACTGGGCTGCCGGGTATGGAGAATTTTGAGGAAAAGATACAAGAAGGCACCAGTGCTGCCCACTTCACCAGAGCTGTCTGGTACTACAGTTGGGTCACATGGAGGATGCTTCTGGGACTCAACAAGTCTGCGTCCTTCTGCCTTCTGAAAGACCCATGACCTAGTCTCTGTCTTCATAGATGCCATGCTGTGCTGTGGGGAGCATCCTGCAGACCCCACAACCTCACCATTAGTCTGTATCCTTAAAAATTGAGGACAGTTCCCATTCGACTCAGCCGTGCCCCTTCTGGGTATTTTTGCAGAATTAAAACATCCTACCACAGTGATATATGTGCACCCATGTTTAGAGCAGCACAATTTTTGTCATAACTAAATCTTGAAAACAACCCAGGTGCCCATCACCTGAGAAATAGATTAAAAAGTTGTGGTATTTTTACATATTGGAGTATTACTCAGCTATAAAGAAAGGTAAACTCAAGCCTATAGGTAAATGGGTGCAACTAGAGGCCATACTCATAAGTGAAATACATCAGACATGCATGTATAAACATCATATTGTCTCCTAGTGTAAGAAACTGAAAGTAAAATCTGAAAGATACAATAGATATTTTGAAGGAAAGGAACTGCTCAAAAGGAAAAAACAACTGGGATGTCAGGAGAAAAGAAGGGGAAAAATATATATATATACACACACACACACAAGATAGCTAAGATAACTGTAGTACTAATTTCTGTTTATTGAAAGGAACAGTTAATGCTTAATTGTTTGATAAATTTTTGCATGCCTATACCTGGCAATCTGAGCAACTACTTTGAAGATAACAATATGCAATATAACAACCATTGTTAATTTCCTATCTTGTTTTGAAATTCTGTATTTCCATTTTTTAATTTTTTATTCTCTTTAAAAAAAATTTTTTTAATTGGGGACAGTTTCACCATGACAGTCTGAAAAAAGAACAGCTTATCTTCTATTGCAATATTGTTTGGGTCCACTATATACTACGAAATGGTGGTAAAAGATGGGTACAGAACAGCCATCTAGATTACAATATTTTTCTTAAATTAGACCTTTCCTGCAAAAGGCCAGGAAAATGATGTGAAATACCTTATGTTCAGGCTTTGGACTCTATCTCTGCAAAGGTCCAAGAACCAAGATACGTAAAGAGCCCTCCAAGAAAGAGGAAATTGATACCATTGATGAGCCTGTCCTTAGCTGCCCAGCTGTCTGGGGAATATGTGTCTCTCCGTCCTGGTTAATGAAAACAACCACACTAGGTGGTCTCCTCAACCTCACCCTACTCCTTGCAGTCCTCGGGCCAGTAAATCAGCCCCATTCTCTTCAGGTGCTTGAACACCAGAGGCCCACTCCGCAGAGATACCAGTATTCCACTGCCCCTCCTTGTGCTCCTCAGCTCAGATAGCTACACAGAGTGGAGTTTTTTTTATCCTACTCACAGCTCATCCTGCCCCTAAGAAAGTTCCCAGGAGTAGCAGAGACTACTTGTACAGATTCCTTTTTCAGTGGCTGATACCCAACAATGCAAAAAATGGGCCAATTGTCATTAGACTGTAGTAAGTTCGCAGATGGGTGCCCAGCCCCCTAGGACCTAATTGCTAAATACAGCCTTTTCTGTGTTCAAGTCAGCACCTAGACAAAGATGAAAGAAGGGCTGGGAAAGACCAATAGCTGTCACAATGGGCAATGCTTTAAGCACACCAAAGGGAAAGATGTCAGCCACTAACCTCATGGCTACTATAAGCTACTTTCCCAATCAGAGAAAGAGTTCCAGCTAATACAAGAAAATTGGACACTGGGCAGAAAATTACACACCTGAGCCTTGCTGCAGATGTCAGGTGACTGATGTGCCTGCAGATGTCAGGTGACTGATGTGCCTCCTCACTCTCAGTAAGGAGCCAGGCCAGCCAAAACCTTCACCTCCCACTCTGATGAAGAGGACTGGAGCTATCCAGGGCAACCTGCAGTGCCCCTGTCCAAAGACATGTCCACCTCATGTGAGGAATCCCAGTGACCCTGGGTCTTGTGGGATAAAGCCTGCCCCATCTGAATTATCTGAGGAAAAAGCACCCAAGAGAAGAAAGCTGTGAACCTCTGGAAGGTCTGAGGCCCCTCTTCAAAAAGCAAGACTCCAACACCGCTCCAAGTGCAGATGAGTAGTCACAAAT